GGGAATGTTAAGATTTATTATCATTTTTAGTTTTAACAGAATTAGAGGATATGATTTTGATTTTTTAGTGGGCTAATCAAATAGAGAGATGAATATAGTAACACCAATATATAAGAGAAAGAAAAAGTTAATAAAATATCATTTTCAAAGCACGAAACATATAGGCTGGTTTCTGGCCTTTAATGGTTGGTTTTCCTTTGGTTTCTTCTTTCTTTGGACGAGTAATTTTATCCCGTTATAGTTAGTTGTTTTTTAAAGATAAAGTTGTATTACATGTGCTAACTATGGTTTATGATTTTTTGTTATGTTAATTAAGAGTATAAGATAATGCTGTCCAACAGGAATAATATTGCCTATTATTATACATGATCTTTCTAAAGTATATCCGACACACATGTTCTTATTTCAAATAAAAAGTGCCATCTTAAGCAGTTACTTCAAATCCTATTTCTTACTATTTTTGTGGTGCAAGTTTTGTTTCGTTTCGTAACAAACAGCTTTATTCTCCTTTTTAGTTTTGAACTTTTTCACTAGAGACCAGAGTGAGTCTCGAACTATTTCTGAATATATCTATTATTTGTCGTCAATTGAAATATTCATTTGCTTTTTTTTTTGGGTCAAAAGAACTATAAGTCTGTTATATGAATTATATAGTGACGAAACCACCACTTAGTCTAGAAACATATAATCATGCTTTTCTCTTTATTTTTCATTTGTTTGTATGGAACATCTGGAGATTCCATCCCAAAATTTATACCGATTCCAGTTTTAATGTGAATCTTACGTTTGAAAAAGGTAACTTACGTTTTGTAACCCAAATTAATCAAAAACTAGTTTAAGATCTATGGAGATGACGTATGAATTGAAACAAAAATAAAAAGATCAAGACTAAACTGTTTTTTTTTATCAAAGACTAAACTGTTTTATATGGCAAAAAAAAGAGTCAAATCTGGTAGTGGTTTCATTTTCGAGAAACAGTGAGGAATCATATATATATATATATATTCAAATGTAGGAAAGTATAAGTCGAATCCATCACATATTTTTCGTTATGATTGAGAAGGTAATCAATCTGAATTGCGATCTTTATATTTCTAAAGCACGAAAGGGCAATGTGGAGGGGATCCACCGCGCACATGACCTTCACGTGGACAAGACACTCCTTGCCTGTTGGCTCTTGCTCTCAGTACAACCTTTTTCCTTTTGCAAACACTAATACAACCTTAACTAATGATAATGTGATTTTATTTTTAAACTTTTTCTGTCGATCTATTATTTATTAAGCAAGATAAAAGAAAATATGATGGAATACATGATAGCTAGAATATCGTAAGCTGGAATGTGTAGGTTATTTATTCATCACTCAAAGTGTTTATATACAACACAAACAAGCATATTCTAGCTAGGAATTGGAATCTTAGATTAGTCTAAATCCCTTTAGATATAGGAGATCATCCTTATCACATTACTCCCCCTCAAGTTGGTAATGAACTTCGCCGAATACCTAATTTGGACAGAAATAATTCGAAAGTCCTCGCAGGTAATGCTTTAGTAAGTAAATCCGCCGGTTGATGCTTCGTAGAAATGTGCTCCATGTGCAGTAGCTTGGCTTGAACCGCATCACAGACAGTATGACAATCATTTTCCACATGTTTAGTACGCTCATGAAACACTGGATTTCGAGCTATATGAATTGCAGATTGACTGTCACAAAACAAACACATAGATCTGTCATGAGTAAAACCAAACTGAAGAAGAAGACGCTTGAGCCACTTAAGTTCACATGTTGCATCAGCCATTGAACGGTATTCTGCCTCAGCCGACGATCTGGAGACTGTGTGTTGCTTCTTCGTTTTCCATGACACAAGAGAATCTCCAAAAAGAACAATATACGCACTAGCTCAATGATCGTCTCGTAAGTGGACAAGACAACCAGTCTGCGTCACAATATGCTGTGAGGCGCATGTCTGAGTTAGCTGACAACATAATACTCTGATCCGTACACCCTTTTAAGTATCTAACAACTCGTAGAGCTGCAACCCAATGATCCTCGAGAGGATTCTGCATGAAATAGCACAACTCTGGCCTTGTAAATGTAAGATAGATTAAGCATCCAACCAATCGCCTATATTTTGCAGGATTATCCATTCGTACTCCTTTAGCAAGTGCTAGTTTTTGATTCAACTCAGTCGGAACAGGCGATGGTTTAGCACCAAGAAGACCACATTCAGCTATAATATCAAGCGCATACTTCCGTTGTGAAACAAATATCCCTTCAGGTCCTCGTGCTATTTTCAATCCAAGAAAGTATTTTATTTTTCCCAAGTCTTTCATCTTGAAACACTTGTGAAGATAGTTCTTGTATCTATGAATTATGGAGACATCATTGCCAGCTATGAGGAAATCGTCAACGTAGATTAGAATGTGCAGGCATATATCTCCTTCGATGAAAGAAAATAGAGAATAGTCTTCATAGCTCTGCTTGAAACCAAACTTAAGAAGTACCGTACTGAGCTTTGAAAACCAGCATTTTGGAGACTGTTTGAGGCCATAAAGTGATTTGCAAAGACGGCACACTGCAGATGGATCTTTAGATTTAAAACCTGGAGGTATTTCATATATATCTCTTCTTCAAGATCACCATGGAGGAACGCATTGTGCACGTCCATTTGGTGTATCTCCCACCGTTTTGCTGCAGCTATTTTAAGAAAAAAATCAAATTGTATTCATCTTTGCAACTGGAGCAAACGTATCCTTGTAATCTCGTCCTTCCTTTTGCCGATTACCATGGGCTACTAGCCTAGCTTTCGGCCGTTCCTCTGTTCCATTTGCTTTATACTTCATCGTATATATCCATCCACACCCAATCGCTTTCTTTCCTGGAGGTAATGGAGTTATGTCCCATGTACGGTTCACTTCCAATGTTGTTATCTCGGTTTCATAGCATCATTAAAGTGAGGATCAAGCACTGCTTCTTTGTATTTAGTAGAAATATCCTCAGAGATGATTGTATCAATAAAAGCCTGGTGTTGTGCAGAGAAAGCATAAGAAGTTAAGTAGTCAGCAATAGGGTATGAAGTCGTACCTGAGACCATTATCGAAGAACTCGGTGTAGATGAAGCTTGAACGTAAGAGAGGGTAGTCGTAGAAGCGATCGCTGCATGAGTGACATAGTTCTTGAGAAGAGTAGAAGGTTTCTTAGTCCTCTGACCGCGGCTAAGAATCTCAAGTAAACCCGGTGACTGTGATGATTCTGATTCATTCTGAGTTGTATTAGGTATAGGAGGAGACTTTGGCGATGTCGGGGTAGTAGTATCCTAGTCTGTAGAGGTAGTAGGGGAAATCGGAGTAGGAGTAGGTGGTGTACACGGTTCAGCTACAATAGGATTGGGAGGAGTCACATATGTCGATAGAGAAGTCGATACATCTTGTGTTGCTGTAGGAACAGTTTCAGGCGTTGTATCAGTTGGCTGTGCCGAGACCGGAGCTACCATGCTCCCTCTAGACTGCATAGTAAGTATAAGACAATCATCTAGTGTATTCTCTTGCATCACAGGAGGCGTGACATATGCAGAGGTTTGCAATCCTAGAAATTTATCTTCAAAGAACACCATGTCCCTACTAATAAAAAACTCATTGGTCTCAATGTCATATAACTTCCATGCTTTCTTCCCAAAAGGATATCCCACAAATAAACACTATCTACTTCATGCACCAAACTTATCTTTGTCGCGAGCACGACGGTGAGCATAACATAAGCACCCAAATATACGAAGAAGGTCATACGCAGGTGGCGATCCATGTAAGACCTCATAGGGTGTTTTCCCATCAAGAACTTGTGTAGGAGTTCTGATGATAATATGAGCTGCTGCAAGAATACTTTCTCCCCAAAAACTGATGGGAAGCTGAGCCTAAAATAAGCATGCTTGTGCAACATTTAGTATATGCATGTGTTTACGCT